AAAATACTTTTCAAATATATATATATATATGTGTGTGTGTGTGTGTGTGTGCATTTCATTATATTTGATTTTTTGCTATTGTTTTAAATTGTTTGATTCATGAATAATTTGACTTATTTAAAAAAAGAATATAATACTACAGTTGATAACAATGAATTACTTTGAATTTAACATAATTGCTTTAGGGTTTGTTTTTTCTTTGTTTCCCAAATCTGGCGACTATATCATGTAAGAATAATCTTGTTTTAGAATGGCGTTGAATAGAAGAACTAAACGACTTTTTTCAGTAGTTTACAGAAACATTAATACCCCCATTCGCCAGCTATCTCAATTTTTTTCAATAACTATCTCGGTGATAGACGTTGTACAAATCTCTAAGAAATAAATAAAACACGTTACCTACGCATTCTTACTCCTCACTTTCACAAAACAAACGTCACACAGTTGAGAACAAACCTCAGCAGTGTTTAGTTGACAAAAAGCACGTGCTGGATATATAAGTAGAGTCTCTCTGTGTTAGAGAATATCCTTTCACTTCTGTTGGAAACTAAGACCGCTTGTGGTGGGAAATTTGTCTTCGTTACTCTTTACTGACTTTCAAAAAAACTTTTGGAGATTTAGTTACTATTTCTGAAGTCAGAGGCTAGAAAGTGAGTGTTTGTTTTTTCTAACACCAGTGGGATGTTTAGTTTTAGCTTAATCGGTGTGTTGGGTGAAAATGTATTTGAATGTTTTCCTTATCTCCAGATAAACAAAGCACATAAAGAAACGTAACTATCAGTTTTTTTTTACTTTTTTACCATAACATGTAATCGCATCATTTTCCCATGACAGTTTATTGAATTACGTGTTTTCTTGGAAGGAAGCATTAGTTTAAAAATATTCGAGTTCAATTCATGAAAAACAATTAATTTTAATCATATTAGAACTACTTTTATGTCACTTTTAAAACTTAACGGTAAGCAGAATTATCAGTTTATTCGCTTTTAAGCGCAAGGCTTCACAGT